TTATACTATTACCATGAAGGTGGTGCTGTTTTGAGTTTCTTTCCTATGCTTACTACCTTCTCAGAACTCAAGTATCTTTTTGGTAATTGCTCAGTATTTATCTCTCCTTTCTCTCTGAACCCCCAACACTTCATCCCAGGACTGAATCCAACCCCTGTCATATCCCTGCAGGGTCAAAGTTTTGATTCACAGCTATTTGGATGGCCAAATAAAACACCACCACATGGAGGTTACAGAATATATCTTTATGGTGCGGTGACTCAATAGTTAGAGTGAAGTACTGCAGGCTACTTCTGCTGATCATCGGCTGCCAGCAGGAATTCACCAGGCTCAAGGTTGACTCAGCTTTCCATCCTTCCAAGAACCCCAATTGTTGGTGGTTCACAGCCCTCTTAGAGAGGGCTGTGAAGCACTATGAAGCGGTATATAAGTCTAAATGCTATTGCTATCAAATTTTAACTTTTGTCACCTTACTGACAAACTATAGATTTGCAATGATAGAATGAAAAATCAACAAGGTTATAAGTGGATTCACTTCGCCCAACTAAAATAACTCCCAATGTCTTTGTGCATGTGAATCAAACAAGAAGGATCTTGGTGATGTAGGTTACCCGGGTAGTTTCAGGACCTGGACGAAGAGTGGATATAATGTTGGAGAGGAAGCTCTGCACGGCCTCTGCATTGTAGGCTTTGTCTCGAGTTGTATGTACAAGAAAAATGACATCACGCTGGGCATCTGGACAGACTGCAGAGTGGAATGTTTCAGAAAGAGTCAGAATGGCATCAAATGGATTGGAGACATAAGCTAAAGGTCTGATTTTTCCCTTCCCCCACTCCCACATGCAAATAATAACTGAAGAGATTTAACTTCCTATGCAGCTGCTTGTAATTCTCAACCAAAAGCTTTAAAAATCAATTATATTTTATTTTTAAATATTGCAATATTTTTAAAACATTTGTTCCAAAAGGCTTGCCATATGAATCTGAAAGATCTAGCTAAATCTACTCAAACAGCACTGAACCAAGGCAGTGTCATATAATCTCTCTGTAAACAGGCCAAGTAATATACAAATCAGGAAATCCAAAATGTAAGGTATAAATAGGATCATCATTGTTAGAAACAAAACACCCCAGGACTCCTTCTCAAAAAATAGAACATCACCTTTTTCTCCCACCAATTATTAAATGAAGCCATTGCCATCAAAGTAATTGACCAGCATCTTGCAAGCAAGAGGCTCTAGATACCCACTGGTGTCCATGGCAAACTACAGTGATGCCAAAATCACAGCATGCTGTGATGACATTCAACAAATGTTATTATTTACTTGTGGTTGAGCTTCTGATGCAAGTATGTAATTTAAAGCACCTGGTTGAACACACATAGTTTGTTATTCGTCCTCTTGAATGGATAGCCGGATAAAGACATTCCTCCATAAAGAAAAACCTCACCTGTCTGGCCAGAAATAGAAACCTCAGCACCGGAGATGCTCCCAAAGAGTGGGCGAATCATAAAGGTGTATTGCTCCCCCAGATGCAACCCAGACACTCGGTGTGATGTTTCTGATGCAGGCAATGTTCGTTGTGCCTCTTCTCCACCTGAAACACAAGAGAAACATGATAGAGGATTAACACAGATAGTTTTACACAGGGCTAATAATGCAGATAGTGTGTCTCACAATATATTGGCTTGTGTGCTCATTAGCTGGTCACAATACTGCAATATTACACGGCTGCTATGGGAGCTTCCATTCTCATGGTCTTTTGGAAGCTGGTAAAAATCTGGATCTTTGGGGGCTGACTGTGGAATCATTAGCACCAGGGATTTTTATATGATTTCATTAATATCCTTTATTCAGTATTAATATCTGAAAAATACCTAGAGTCTGAATGGATTGAGGAAGTGGAAAAAAACTGTATAAATAAAGAAACCCAGTATTTTATTGGATATGTGCTTATATCACATAAGATTAGGAGCCGAGGTGGCACTGCGGTTAGCGTGCAGTACTGCAAGCTACTTCAGTTGACTACCAGCAGTTCAGCAGTTGAAATCTCACCAGCTCAAGGTTGACTCAGCCTTCCATCCTGCCGAGGTCAGTAAAATGAGAATCAAAACTGTTGGAGGCAATATGCTTACTCTGTAAGCTGCTTAGAGGGGGCTGTAAAGCATTGTGAAGTGGTATATAAAACTAAGTGCTATTGGTATTGCTATATCTAAGCATGAGATAAGATATTTTCCCTCATACAGTCCTTAAGGGTAGATTAGGCTGAGAAAGAGTGACATGTGTAAAGTCACCTTGCAAGCTTCCATTACTGAGGGCAAACTAAAACCTGGGTTTTCCCATTGCTAGTCCAATGCTTTGACCACTACTCCACAAAATATTGTGAAGGGAAATCAGAGTTCCTTGATGACTGAACTCCTGGAGGAAAGGTGTGATGTACATCAA